CTCCCTGTTTAAATTTAGTTTAATTACTTTTTGTACATTTATAAAAACAAATATCTATTGATATTTTACAAATGCATATTGCCTGTTTGCCAATTTTATTTTATAGTTAATTATATTGTCCCGTTTCCTTTTTTTTTATTGCAAACGCAGTATAATTAAAAAACTTGAGGTTTATGCCAAAATTAAACAAATTTAAAGACAGTGTGAATTTTTGCTTTGTAAATGTGGCTTGCTATTCTTCAGACTTAGGATCTCGTCTGTTAAGTTGTGATTGTATAGATGTCGTGTAAAAGGTATTCCAACTTATGTTACGCCAAAGGGTAGTCCTTAAATACGAGGATTAGGATTCATGTCATTCTTAATAATGCTTAAACTTTTTTTTTTTTTAATTTAATTTAATTGCACTTAATTTATAAATGTAAATGTATTTTATGAATATTTATTCCTTGCTAAGAAAAGACTCGAAACAAATTACTTTTCATTTCAAGGACCATCCTTCTACAACACTTAACAAAGTGTTGGGACAATAGTTTTACTTTGATACATATCATTTGGATATAAGTTATTGTATTGTAAAAAAAAGTACCATTTGAATATCACAAGTTAACTTGTGTAAATTTTTAAATTTGCAAATTTTTGTAATCAAGATTTACAATTACACTAAAAATTAATAGCATTTGCTTTTTGTAAATAGTCGAAGTAATCAATAAAATTAAGACTGAAAATTTCTTAAATTAAATTGCCTTTTTCTTTTCCTTTGCCTTACATTTTTATCAATGTAACATTATTATGTTCATGGGACTTTCCCAATACGACTCGAAGGAATTGGATAAAAGTGTAATGATTATTATTGTTTTTTATGGTTCGCATTTTTGTGTTCAATCAGTTATTTATTTTTGCTTATTAATAATTGCGTAAAGGTCGGTAATTAAAATTATATAATACAGTATATACCTAGGTGAAAATAATTACAGTGCTACTACTTTCAAAGTATAAATAAAGAATTGTTAAAAAAATACAATCACAATTCAAATATGCGCCAGTTTATTTATTTATTTACATTTTTAAACGCTTTCGGTAAATTCAGCATGTTATATATTTGAAACAAAACTTTTCGTAATGAAAACTTATTTATTTTTGTCTGCTAAATTATGTTGCATCTGAATTGGTTAAATAAATACACCCACTTACTAGAAAGGAGAAAAAGGAAATGCAAATGTGTAATACGTTTTTTATATTTAATAAATAAATACAAGCAATCCTCATATTTTTAAGTTCAGTATGGCAAAATGAATTATGTGGCCCCTTATTAAAATAAAAAATAAAGTCCATGACGAAATTTATAAATAAGATAACGCTGATCGTCGATATTACTGATAAAACTATTATCGCAAAATTAAAATGATAGGTGAAAGCATCATTTAATAGACAAACAGTGTAATTTTATGAATTTAGAAATCAAAATATAAAATATTGTTCGGTTTTATTGTGTACACATTTAATTACTAGTGGGTGAGTACACATAAACATTTAAGGTTGACTCGAATCATTAGCTAGATAAGTTTCTAATGAGGAAAAGTGGAAATGAATTTCTAGTATAGGTACAAACGACTTTAGTCTCCAGGTGGTCCCTTTAGAAATTACAATTTGAAAGCAAAAATATTGGTAATTTAAATAGGTTTGGCTTTCTTTCGTCACTAGCATTTTTGTGTAGGTTATTACTTTTATGAATTAATTGAGTAATTACTGATAGTAGAAGAAAAGATGTGCGCAGGCTCCAGGTAACTTACCTGTCAAGTAGTCTCTTACACTAAGCTGCCTATCCACCTGTAGATTGCAAAGGTGTACCTAAATACCGCAATACTTTAGGAATTTTAAGTGACAATGTGAACATATTTTGTGATTGTGCGTTAATAAAAATGTTTGTTATACTGTTTTAAAAGGTAAAAATAGCATTTACTTAGTTGTTGCGCACTTGGCGAATTTACTTAAGAACGGTATGGAGTAATTCTCGGACACTAGGATGGCCACTATGGCTAAATATTATGTAGCTATTTCGCAAATAGGTAGAGCGTGTAGTTGTTAACATTCTGGCATAAAACAGTTCTTGGCATCTAAATCAATTCTGTTTTTATTTTCCTTTTGCTCTCATATTTAGATTTATCCGTTAGTGAAATAGTTACTTAAGTAGGTAGTTAATAGTTGGGTAGATATTTAATATAAATTTTAATAAGAATGCGCAAAATCGTGAGTGTGGATGAAGATGACTAAGTAATGTCAAATGAAATTAATAATTTATTAATTGATATGCATTGCAAATACTTGCAACTGGCCATAAAAGTACAAGCACACTAACTAAAACAGCAACTTAAGTCGTTAAGATTCTTAACATTCCAACGATGTAAAGGTGTGGCTTACAAAGAATCAAAATAGTATTTATTATAGTTTATCGAGCAAATTAGAAACTGTCAGGACAGTATTCCTAGTTTTCAGTAAATATTTGTCTTAGTTTTCTAAAGTTTTCGTCAATATTTGATTCTTTTTTTTGTTCAAACATATTTAGGAAAGTGCTCATTAGATAGGTACAACTGTAAAATCTATGTCGAATTTCTTCTAGGCCTATACATACATAGATGTAGGATTAAGAAATACTATACGTAAGTGGTTAAGAATTAAAGATTAAATACTTTATTAATTCGTAAGCGTGCACAATTAGAGAATATTTTAAATCATTCGTCACTGATAGTGTATCGTATGTATTAATTGAAGTACCCGCTATACTGTTATTGTTTTTCCTATCTTGCGAAGATAAATTAAAAATTCATTTGAAGCGCATTTATATCAACTCACGGAGTTGAAATAGATAATGGATGTATAGAAAAATTAAAATAGAACGTCCAATATATTACTAACCTTCTAAGTGAGTTATTAATTTAAAATTAATGAAACTGTTTACGTTACCATTAGTAACGAAATTATACAAAATCTGTGAAAGGAAATATTTAAGTACAGTAGATAGATGCCTCCTAATTTATCAAACGTAAGGTATCTTTTCGCTTCAAGTCTTAAAATTTTTAAGGATATTGATGTATCTACGTAGTTATTTTAAAAAATTTACAGTAATTCCTCTACTGATAAAATAAATCTTTTTCAATGTCGAATAAAAACTAATTGAAACAGTACCGTTATTCTGTTTTTACTATTAGTTTAATAATTTACAGTATTTTAGTGGCATATTTTATAATATTTATAAGAATTTTTAGGGCGTGCATTTTTTATATCAATTGCTTATTATCTGAGATAATGATTATCTATTAGGTATAATATTTTCATTTCGTTTGATGAACAGGTTTATAGTAGTGTATATATAGAGCGTCATAATGGCTTATCGATCAAACGGTTATTCAGCTGACGAAAGGGATTTCGATCAAGAACGTAACGAAAGGGGCAGTGATGGGGGCGAGAAACCCACCTATCTCATGGAACATTTGGCTACTTTTACGGTATCGAAAGACACTGGAATAGTTTACCCTGCCGATGGAATGAGGCGATTGCTACAATTGGAAAAAACAAATGGGATTTGGTCGCAAAAAATGCAATTGTGCTTAGACAGATCTTGGGTTTTGGTGATGGACTACGAAACAGGGGTACTAATAGACAAACAAATCAAATAGACGATCATTAGATTTATTATCTTCAACTTTTAGTCTGTAATGGAACGTTTTCCGGCAAACTCAATCCAAGAACCTACCGCATTCACCAGCCATGATCCAATGGAGATCTACAATAACATTTTAGTGTTTATCGTTTCAAATTCGAACCCTTCCTACCCACCAGAAATGCACATCTTTCAGGTAGTTACGACCACGTCGCTTTTGTTCTTTTAACGTTATTTCTGACAACAACTTATTTCAGTGCCAAAGTATATCAGCGCAAGACCTGGTGGAAGATTTGAAACAATTGAGATTAGGGAAGACTCTAACGAGAAGTCGGAAAAGCAGCATTCCGCCGCCAGCTCACAAGTCATCGTCGCAACACATAATAAATCCTGCAAGAGATCATTACAGAGAATCGGATTCAGAACTGACTGCAAATAATGACGATACCAGTTCAACGACTAGCGAAAAATACGAAAGAGACGTTGCTATTTTAAACCATTGTTTTGACGACATCGAAAAATTCATAGCACGCCTGCAACATGCGGCTGCCGCTTCGAAAGAACTGGAAAGAAGGCGAAAGAGTCGGAAAAGTAAGAAACGAGACATGGGCGACGGTATGTTAACCATGCGAACGAAACCTCCGCCAGAAAAGGAATTTTTCGATATATTTCAAAAGTTTAAGTTATCATTTAATTTACTGGCCAAACTCAAGGCTCACATCCACGACCCCAATGCACCAGAACTTGTGCACTTCTTATTCACGCCTTTAGCGCTCATTGTGGAAGCTGCTCATGATACTTATTTCGACTTGCATCTTCCACACAAAGTCGTACCGCCACTTTTAACAAGAGAAGCTGTCAATTTATTAATGAATTGTGTAACCAGCAAGGAAACCGAACTTTGGCACTCCCTCGGCAACGCATGGTTAATACCGAGGTAACTGATTATAAATTTCATATTTTATCTTTTTTGATCGCACATAAAATCGCTTTTGTAATACAGGGACCAGTGGAAGGGTCACGTGTCATCTTATCATCCAGTCTTTATGGACGGATGGTCACCAGATTATCCGGTTATCGACGAGCTAGATTCGCCCAGCATGGAAAATAAACAGTACAGAGATTACAGCAGTGATTACAACGACTACGAACCTTCAAGTCAGGATTATATGTACGAGAGGAAGAAGATGGAAGGGATTTCTAGCCCTGATAGGGATCTACCCCCTACCAGTTCGAAAAGTGACATATCGGTCGACTCAATAGAAAGAAACGGGGGCGAGGATCGAGGATTTAATAAAAATCAAGAAAATTGGCTCGACGAACTCAAGTCTCGGGGGGCCAATGTCGTACAAGTAACGTACCCGAGAACAGCCAATAACGAAAAAGAACTCACCGTTGTTAGAGGAGAATTTTTAGAGGTAAGTTGACATTGGATACAATTTCATTGTATTTGTACCTATGAAATTGCATTTGGATGCATTTTTAAAGATGCCATTTTAGGGGCCTTTTTACCATTCAAATCAAAATAAAATAAAATTTGCTGTTGAATGAATGCTTTCATGATCATTATTATGAAATTTCTGTTGGGGTTATTTAACCGTCGTCCTTAAGGACTCATTGTTTTACTGTTCGTTACTAATTTACTGGGTCCGCAGAAGTTGTTGTCTTTTTATTTTGTTGGACGGTTAGAGTGACGCAAAAATTAGGGCCATTTTTTTAAAAGGTTTTAGATGACAGTCGCAAATGGTGGAAAGCACGTAACAGTAGGGGCCAGGTGGCCCATGTTCCTCACACCATTGTAACCCCGTATCACTTCGGGGACAGCGATAGAAACGATGACGTTTTTAATAATCCACTTTACACCAATAATTACAGCAGAAACAGTCGACAGGTAAGCGGTTTTTAGATTTAATAAAGGCTAGTTCGTTTATTGGATCGTATTGTGTTCCAAAAAGGAGTCGACGTCCGATAGGTTTAGCGGAACTCGAAGTCCCAGCGGACCTGATCATCCTTCAAGTCCGCCATCAGTCCCTGCAGCGCCAGCCGACTGGGTGAGAAAAGAACGACTCGGTAAGAAAGGTGAATTCCGATATTTTTAAATTGTCGCCGGGAACGTTACATGTGCTATTATTCAGCTTCTTGTACATTTCTGTCCTGTCCCTATATATACATACGTAATGGTACCCTTTTTTTACCGCAAGAAATGTTGTCTTTTCGAACGAAATTGCAGATCTTTTACCTACTTACTACTCAAGTAGTTTAACTTTTTTATTTGTAAAATTAATACTAATAAAAACACCCTATTCGTTATGTTATGTAGGTATATAGGCCAAACCGAAAGAATATTTTAGTGAAGAGCATTTTTTAATATAATTTAATATATATTGTAATGATAATTATTTAATCGATTTTTCTTCTTTTTCTCTTTAAAATACTTAGCACTATTAGCTAGTGGGGTCACTTGCAAAATGTAAAAAGTGCACATATTTCTCGCTAATTCTTTTATTCTAGGTACTTATTATAACAGTTTGCAATTATTCGCTAAACGAAATTGCGTGTGTTGTGTAAAGTTAGTCCCTAGCGTATTTTACTATCCTCAGAAGTAAAAGATTAGAGGGTAACAAAAAAATTTTTAAACAATGTACCTTAACGGATAAGTGGCACTAGAAATTCTTTTACCAACTTCTTATGAAATTAATAATGATCAAAATAAATAAATATATATATATATATATACATTTTGTACATTATATTCCTCTATATACAGTAAAAATTATGCATGTTTTGGTATTTCTTCATAGAATTTAATTTGTTAAAAAAGTTTAGGTAATCGTTTATGTAGCAATACTCGTTAATTTTACATGTATGATTATTAAAAAAAAAAAATGTTTATATCCTGTTGCAAGTACTGTCCGAATTTTTATTTATTGTTCTGCTTGAATCTCGACTGTAAACCGAAATAATCATCTGTCTTCCGAAACGAATGTGTTTTACAAAATAGACGGAAAAAAAGAAGATAAAATACTGATGTAATCATGTGCATTTTTATACTATTTATATAGTATCGAAAGACACTGGAATAGTTTACCCTGCCGATGGAATGAGGCGATTGCTACAATTGGAAAAAACAAATGGGATTTGGTCGCAAAAAATGCAATTGTGCTTAGACAGATCTTGGGTTTTGGTGATGGACTACGAAACAGGGGTACTAATAGACANATACTCCTGGGTCAATTCATTTTATAAATAAAATTCAATGTTAATTTCCACAAAATTATATTAAAACACTTGACAGCTATTTCGCAGTAATCACAAGAATTCATCGGAAGTGGAGGATAATTTACTGTTAAGTGTTTTAACATAATTTTGGTTTGGATTTTATTTATAAAATAAAAATACTTCTGTATTTTAATGGTTGCTAATTTTTTAATTTCCACAATGAAGAGAAGGGTAAGTACAAACGTATTATTATCTGATTAAAAATGGCTAATTTGGATGTGTGAGGTAGAACAGAACAATTGCAAAGAAGTGGGGAAGAAGAATGTCTATATTCGGGTGTATAATTGGTTGAATATACATACATTTTAAACTTTTAATGTTCAGTTTATCGAAAAAGTGTAATCCGAACAAATTAGGACGGGATCAACTAGTACAGAAATAATTATCTAACTATTGTGGCTAATATTCGAATAGCATGGCGGTTTTGCTCATTCTGTGACGACTGTTATTTAAATGGCATACTTTCTATTAAATATTGGGTTACATAAAATTGTATACACGTTCGTTAGCAGCCCCTAGAAATAGAGGTAAATTCGCGTTGATTTTATATGAATAACACGTGCGATTATAATTGAATTTTGTATTTGCCGGAATCCCGGAAAAAAACTACAGGATTTGTTTTGTACATACGTATAAGAACCTTCACGTTTAGTCCACCATTCTGTTTTGGAAGCTTTGATAATAGTATCTGTCAAGAATATTAAACAGAATAGCATTGAATCATCATCATCACCTTATGAATTTTATATAACTACAAAACAAAAGCAAATGCTTCTGCTAGACCTTTAATAATTATCTTCCTTTATACATTTTTAATTATTAAATTGTGACCGTAAATTTAAATAGAAAAGGAGAATAATAAGGCTGATGCTCCGTCAGTTCCACCACCAGCACCTCCGCCGCCACCACCCCCAGCGCCGTCACAACCCTCTTCGCCTAAATCGACCCTAAAGAGATCGCCATCGATAAAATCGACTGGCGATAAAATGCAAGATGAACTGAATATTGTTCTAACGATGTTCCGTGAGAAAAAACGAAACTACGAGATAAATAAAACCCCTGAAGTATTCATTAATCAGAAATCCAATCCGGCAGAAGTTCAAGAATGGCTAAAGGCTAAAGAATTTAGTCCCGAAACATGTCAGAAATTAAAAGGAATGTCAGGGTATAAACTGCTGGGATTTTCGAAAGAGCACCTGGAACGAGTATGTGGAGCAAAAGAGGGAAAACGATTATATTCGCAAATTAATATCCAAAAAAGTGTGTGTGGTGTAAGTAACAAAACAACTTTTTTTTGTAAGTTCTTTCGTTTGATATTTTGTTGTGTCTCGTTCTGCCTTTTTTTTGTGACTAAGGATAAGGTTTCACATTTTTTTTTTTATGTTTCTAATTAGCTTGATGAATGAAACATTCTTGTAGCGATTCTACTACATTAAAGGAAAAGTCATATAATTCCCATTTCTTTGGGTTGGTATTTAATTATGAGAAACTATCATGCGATCGCTACCTACAAATATTAATTTGTACAGGTACATTCGCTTAATTATTATGATTTGTGGTAGTGAGCTTCATTCTAATGTTGTCAGAATCGTATTAATTTCATTAAAAGAAACAATAAATAACAGTTATTGCTGCTGATATTAAAAAAAAACACTAGAACAAATACGTTTTAATTTCCTCAATTTGTAGTATATTATGTTTCATTTAATGTACTACTTATTTCTGTGGTTAGTACACAAACTGCCTAAATGTCTGGTTATTCTGATGTAAAATCATCATTCCACTAAATTAGCTACATATATTGATCAGTTTGTGTACTATCCAGCTAATTTATAAAGGAAATACACAGATTAACCAGTGTTCTTGGCTGTTTTGCAAAATATCCACACTATTTGCATTAAGTTTGAACTTATTGTTAGTAGGTACTAACAATACAAAATAACTAACTTGTTGGTTAATTTGTAAACTAACCAACTCTCTTTGGCCAATGTGTGTTTAAGCAAGTATAATCAACAAATTGGTTAATATGTGTTACTAGCAATATTAAGTTCACACTTCCAAGTACTGTGGGATTATTGCAAACTAGCCAAGAACATTGGTTAATCTGTATGCTTATACCCTTGTAGTTTGTACATTAGCGACAAATCTCGTATAGTTTGTAAACTAGCGGGATAATATACAAACTAGCCAGTGTACGTAGCAATTTCAGTAGCAGGATAATTTTCCATCAAAATAACAAGACATATGAACAGTTTGTATACTATCCAACACCTTTTAAAGAATTCGAAAATCTCTTTCAATCTTGCTTTTTCCTTTAATTACAAAGATTACAAATATTTTTCATTTTGTTAGTACCTAACTGCCAGATCCTCAGAATTAAGGGCGATTTTAGCGAGAGCCAAGGAAAAAGTTGATGGCTAATTAGAGGTAATAACCACCACGAAAATAATCCATGGCCTTGAAGATGACACTTGTGTATATATAATATATTTAATAGGTACCTTTATAAGTGGAAAAACTTTAATAAAAAGATAAGTACAATTCACACGTAAATATGCAGAAGACAACAGTTGCTTAGCACTTTACTATTATAGCTTTTATAAATATATTTCTATATTAATGAAATCCGAAACAGGTAATTATTGCTTAAAAAAATCTTGCCATTTTTTTGCTGTAAGCAAAAAGTTAGACCTGTAGGAATGGGACCGTTAATTATTGTAAAATAAACTTGTCGTAGATATTAAACAGTGATGTGACTAAATTGTTCTTTGAAGATTAATTAGTAGATTAGTTAATTAGTTAACAATTTTAAGATAAACTATAGTAAAAATGTGATAACTTCAAAACGATTCAGAACTTGTTTCCTTTAATAAATAACTGTCTTGTTTGTAATAAAGTTTAAAAATGCAGTTTTATTCATTTTCGTTGCCTTTTTTATATAGAAAATAAGCATTGGCTGTTTTTATAAATATATTTGTTGTTTATGCTTAAATATAAAAAATTTATAAGATGTAGGTAATATTTGCTTTTAATCGATGCCCATATTAGGCTAACTTACTTTCATTATGTTTAATGTTTGCTAGCCCTTAATACAGTTAGGTGATGAGTAGATAAGGTTCGTTTATTGTATCGATCCTAGCAGGCCTTGAAGTGTTTTCACCTGATACGCCCGCAAATAAAGTTATATCTACTATAAGTAAGTTTTAATATAATATTGAATATCTGCTTATTACACCCATTTCATAAAATTTGGACTAATTGGGATAGTTTGTTCAAAATTATTTAAAACCGAACAATTTTCAAATAAATTGTTTTATCAACTTAAGATAATAACTGCTTATTGTATATTGTGTTATACAATAGGTACATCTTTTAGTTTTTTCAATTCTCAAGAAACGCCACTGTTTCATTTGTGTTAAGATGTAATTAATGTAAATATACTAGTAATATAAGCGAAAAATGACAACAAATAGTTAATAATTTTTTACTCACCATGTATATAAGTCTATAGAACTTAAGAATAACACCTTTTTCCTTTTTAATATTTATTTATTAATTTTTCGTATATTTTGACTATCGGCCATAATGAATATGGTAAAAGTTAGGTTACGATCTCAACAATGTAACAATCAGTTTAAAAACTTCCGGTGCTCAAAACGTGTTGTCAACGTATTATAAATATTATTAGAGTGAAAGTATTGTTTATTTAATTCCATTTATTATTATATTATGTATATACGTGGGTATACAGTCATTAAAACGAATTTCTTTTGTGCTATCAATGGATAAATAAAATTCCTGACAATAACCTAATACAAAAAGGTAAGGTTAGGTACAAGCATGTTTTGCTCTAAAACTTTTCATTCTCTAAATAACATATATCTACATAGTTATGTGTTAAATTATTTCAAAAGTAATTACATTTATGATATTATTAATTACTTTAAACACAAATATAAGTTAGCAGCAATGAGTACCTATATCAATTTGTAAATTAGGTAGGTAGATACTAGGAAACGTTATTTACTAGGTACATTTTCTAATAAAGTCAACCCTTCTGTATGACTGCAACACTTGGAATGAGAAACAACATCAGTATTTTCATTTCTAATTTTGTGTCGAATAACAAGTGCAGTAAAAATGAACTAGCGTTTGTAAAATATTATTTGGTATGTGTTAATATTTTCTTTATGGGAAACATCGCTTGGGGATTATACACTCTCGCACACAATTTTTAATTAACTATTGATCAAACAAGTTTTTTACTTTTCGAAACGAAAATCGATATTGCCAACACGTTTAGATTGACTACGTGTTAAAAAGGCCACTCTCATCATTTCTACATGTTTATGAAAACTTTGATCTATTCTGGTTGCCATTTTTTTATAACTTCATATTTAACTAAATTGTACATAAGCCACTACCATGCACACGTATGGTGAGAAATTAAGAACATATTTCAATTAATAAAAATCTGTAGGTACCTATGGAAATCGTTCTTTGGCTGATAATATGCTATTTCTTTCCCTTTAATTGCAATATGCAGAAGTCCTAGCTGATAGTGCAAATAAATTTTTTTATTGATTACAAAACTACACCAGCAGATGTCTTTTTCAAAATAGGTTTTTAAATATATACTTTAAAAAGGTCGAATTATTTAGAAATGTTTTCAACATAACTTTAACAACCCCCACATGTGGGGCGAAACGTCGGCATGGATTTGTAATTAAACCTTACTCACCCTATCATCTTCGATTTCTGCATTTTATTATATATTGTATAAAAAGTTAATAAATTTTATTTATGCTCGTATAATTAGGCATGTCACCACCTATTTATTTTTAGGATTAAATAAGTTCAAATGCTTATTAATCTGAAATAACATCTAAAGATAATTTGACCTTTAAATACTTTAATAGGTTGTCTTCCACAGAACAGCTAGAGAGAGAGAAATTACAAAGACAGTTACAATTATTTTACTTAATTGAATACCTGTATCTTTTTATTGTGCAACCTTACTAATGTCGCCCGCCAAAAACAGTGACGAATATTGAAGAAAAGGTCTTTCGTTGGCGATAATAAATTAACTGACAATTCGTTTACCTCTAAAAGCAGAGATTTGGCGTTCTACAATAAAAATAGATTAACAGGTTAATTTGCATTTTATCACAATTAAAATCTTTAAGCAATTCACTCGGGTACTTAATAGAATTAATAATGTTGATGTTATTGTCTTAAATAGCAAGCCCAAAGGGAAAGGGTGGTTCTAAGAACTAATCAGTAAATCGGGTTTTTAACCGTTTGTTTACTTTTCAGGAAATTCGCTCATGTACGCAAAAATACAACAGAAATCCTGTATTTTGGTAAGTCTTTTATCGTAACATCATGTATTTGTAGTTTACAATTTTTTAGTATTTATTAAACGTCTGTTATCTTATTTATCTTAAAATTAGTGTGGAATGAAAACGAATAACATATTTTTATATTCTTTTAAAATCGCAACTATTTTATAGATAATATAAATTGCATAATATCGGTGTTATCAAATCTTAAATTCGTATATGTGATTGGTCGAAAACTATTTCGTTCTTTGGTTAATATTTAGAGGAAATTTGGCCTAAATAATTCACTAATGCAGGAGTCTTAATTCATTTTATTGGAATAAACGGACGGTGAAAAACGCCGTATTACATTTTCTTTTTGGGCCACGTCCTATCAGTGACCCAAAATATGCAGCCGTACAATCAAAGCTATTAAGGGAAACCTTACGCTTTGTTTGTTTCCTTTTTGTCGAAAAGCGACAGACTTTTAGGAAATATAGGTTGAGAAATGCAAGCACAACGTGGCTAAATCGATAGCTAAGTGTCTACAGATAAATGGAAAAAACTTTGAGCTTTCAGCACGTGAGATATCAGTGAATTTTTTAAGCGGAGGATATCAAAAATTAAACGATTTTTAACTACCACCAACAGAATATTCAGTCATACACAACTGTAATTAAACGATGTTCAATATATCATTAACTTCAATATCTAAACTTTGATTAAAGTACATATATGTATATTAAGCTTCCCATCAAAACTTCCTGTCAATTTGATTTATCATTTAATGTCACCAACAACTATGTATTCGGTTCGAACATTTTTAAACTTCTGAACGCTGAATAGTTTTCAAAGGGCGGAAAGAAGTAATTTGATAGAAAATCGATTTAGAACTTCTTCCAAGTCTTTCTGGTAACGTCAGGCAGTGCACCTAATTGTTTCTAAAAGGAAATAGAAAATTGACTGCATATTTCACCTTGCCTTGCACTTTATCTAAATCGTCAATTTATGTTACCTAACGTATTTACCTACAAATTTAGTTTCTATCCAGGAAATTTACATGTATTACGTTTTATAAAGGTAGGTAGTCTATCTGTAAATATATAAAATGAAAAATAAATTAAGAAAATAGTAATTTCGGAGAGTTTTGGGTAGTTTATTTTAAATGATAAATGTAAGTACGACAAAATACGTCTCTATGAGAGTAATTATTAAGAAAAGTATAGAACCTGCTTTAGTTTCGTGCAATCTGTTTTGAGAAATACAACAGAAGATTGTGAATATTTTTTTATGTCACTACTGATATCCATATATTTTATCTAAGCATGTAATTCTCAAATACAATTGACGCAAAAGGTAGCAGGTACTGACGTCTACCCGATAGTACATTAAATACCTATTCAGTACATTTATCTGTATATAAGCTGAAAGCGTTGTATAATTTATCAGTTTTTTACTTATTATTGCAGAGCCCATGACATCGAGTTACGTCAATAAATAATTTTTATAGATTAATTAACCGACTCAATTTTGAACGCATCGAAATATAATTTTATTAATTTTTTAAGGTTTTATTCTACTATTGACTAATGCGATTAACTGTAACGTTATACGTTAGTAGACGTGAAATAAATTTGTAGCAAGATAGTATTTTAATTAAATTGTGTATAAAATGATTAATCAAAGGGAATTGTTGGGAATACGTAAGTGGGTTCATAGAAGTAGAATCTACACGTAAAGCAAATTGAATGTTTAGAGATCAGCCTGTTTTTATGCCAACCATAAATGTAAAAGTTGCAATTAAGATAAATTGGTTTAGTTTTAAAGTTTTACAGTTCTGGCGTTAAATTACCTAAATTGCGTCATTGTTTTGCAGAAGTTGATGACGTCACGTACGAAAAAATATACTGTGACACATTCCGTGCGTGCATCTATTCGAATTATTATTTAATTGTTTCAAATATATATTAACGGGAACATATTTCCCTACGATTGTTAGGTGCACTAACTTAATGAATGTAAATAGAAAGGTCACAGCTTTTAACTAGGTATATTTAGCTCAAACTAAATTTAAATTTACATCTCCGTATTATGTAGAGTAGACTGTGCTATTGTTGAACGAACATCATAAAACATTTTTCTTCTATCTTTTTCTGTTTCCCGAAATAAAAATCGTTCCACTGAAGCGCTGCTTGATGGGTCTTTTCTTTCATTTACTTTTATTCTATTCTAAAAACCCATACATATTTTTTATTTTAACAAATCCCATTGAAAATTAAACCAGTATATCTAAATTCAATAGCGGCGCGCTCTTTCGAACAACTAGGAAATAAAACATTACATGTACTTTTAAACATAGCACATCAACGTTAATCCATAAGTAGAGGATTCCAATCATTTCGGATCAATAAAACGAATGTAGCCACGAGGGTGCATACTGTTGACTGATTTAACATTGTTTAATGGGAATTACACATTATAATTATTGTAAAGTAATAAGTACGAAAACCATCTACGTGCTGCCTTTAAATCTGATCGCGAATAGAAATTTAACTTAAAAAACTTTTTAGTCAAATATCGAATTATTGTGGAAAGCGT